TGATGAGATTCGGGAAAAGTGGCAAGTTGTCGCCACGATTTATTGGACCGTTTGAGATTTTGGACCGAGTAGGAGAGGTTGCCTACAAGCTTGCTTTGCCACCACAGTTGGATAGGGTCCACAATGTTTTCCATGTATCGATGTTACGGAAGTACGAACCGGATCCATCTCACATTTTGAGTTGGGTAGATGTGGACATTGATGAGGATGTTTCCTACGAGGAAGGACCAGTTCAGATTCTTGACACACAACAGAAGGTGTTGAGGAACAAGACGATACCAATGGTGAAAGTCCTTTGGAGACACCACGGAGTCGAGGAAGCTACTTGGAAGCTTGAATAGGAGGTTCGCTCCAAGTATCCAGAGTTGTTTTCTTCCTCAGGTATGTCTTGATTTCGGGGACGAAATCTTTTAAAGTTGGGGAGAGTGTAATGTTTGTGCCTTTATATATATATATGTCTGTGTGCAGTGTGTATTAAGAAAAAAAAAGAAAAAGAGAAAAGAAATATAAAAAAAGAAAAGTGGAACCCACAAATATTAAGACCATGTTTTTTTTTTTTTTTTTCACTGTAACCTCATCTTCTCTCTCTCGCGTCCATCTCTCTGTTTGTCTCTCGGCTCCTTCTTTTTTATTCTTTTTTCTTTTTTTTCACTTCAAGCTTTAACCCTTGATTACTCTCTCAATCCTTGCCGGATTTAGGTGCCGTTTGAGGCAAAACGACGAGCACGACGAGCCCTACGTGCCAGTATCAGAAATTCCAGCTTTTGGTCCTCTTTGGGAGCTCGAATTTGAGGACCCATTTTCTAGGGTTTTGGTGTAATCTTGAGGTAGGGACATCTTAAGCCATGGAATCTTGTTCCATATTGAATCATGCTCTTCTAATTGTGTTACAGCATGTTTGATTGCTTTGATTCTTGTTTAAACTTAGATATTTGAGAATATGCCATGTTATGTGAATATGTGTTACTTGATTGAATGGATAGCATGTTTATATAGTGAGTTTCTATCATGATTATTATTTTACAAGCATGCTATAATGTTATATGAAATGGTACTTCTTGTAGAGTGTTAAATTCCCATTTATCATTGTATTGACATCATGTAAGATACATACATTTTATTGGGTTGCATAGGAAGGGATGTTGGTGTTTGAAAAGAAAAATGGGAATTTTGGGTGATGTGTTTGGAAAAATTGGTTTTGATAAACCCGGTCGCTGCGGGGTTACCAACGAGTCGGAGGTTAATATAGCCTAGAGGGGACTAGGGAGTCGCCCTAGTGTGGTTGAGCTAGCTGGGCCCCATAATGACGCCGCGGGGTTACCAAGGGTCAGGGACACTAGCCAATCCTCCTCTCGTGTGGCGGCGGGGTTACCAAAGGGCGGGCTGTATTAACGTTTGAAAGTGATGGTTTTGAGAATGAAAATGGGGAGTGTCATTGACATGCATTGCATTTCATTGCATTGCATTGCATTGTTTATACTTGGAATTGACTTGTATGTTGTATTTGATCCCCTATGTTGTATGATCCCTATCTCCCATTGGCCTATGCTTTGATTGGATTCACTAGGATGCAAGAATTGTGTCTTAAGTGTCTCTGCTGAGCTATATGCTCACCCTTATATCTATATATATTTTTTTCAGGTCTTGGAATAGAACCGGTGGACGACAATCCACCCCAACTTTGAAAGTTGCTAAAGGAGCATTTTCCTTGTTATTTTGTAATAGACTACTCCTTTGTTCATCCCTCATTTTTTGTAAAATTCCAAAGGTGTAATGATGTAAATTTCTTTTGAAGAACCATGATCATGTAATACACTTATGATACTTGATGACATATGGAATGCGAACTTGATGATATGTAACTTGTTGATGAATGGAAGGATAATCCTAGCTTGAAGCATTGTCTAGATTAGTAGGTTGTATCATTATCTTTTGTTGCTGTGAATTCGGAAATTAGTTGCATGACAGGTTAAATATGCATTTAAACAGGTTGCGGTAAGCCCATTTTTAGGGGAGGTTATGCCGAATTTTAAAAAAAAAAAAAAAAAATTCTTAGCATTAGTTTTGGAGTCGTTACACTCACAAAGTTATATGGTTTCCTAATGGTATTCCCAAACACTGTTTTATTCTTTTGCTCGCAGTCAAGAACAAGTTAAAAACTATGAGTCTTCTTATTGAATGGGGTATAGCTCATTCTGATCTATATATCCTCTACAAGGCTATTACAAAGACAACTCACCATCTTTTCTTTAACTTTGCATTTTCTTGTAAAGTTTGGCAGTCTGTTGCTAGGGCAGCTTTTCTTATTTGGCCTGCTCAGTCCAACCTAAATGATATTATAGCTTGGACAAATGTTAATTGCTTTTATAGAAAGAATTGGAATCACCTATTGCACAAAGTGTCTTTAGCGAGCTATGTGTATGTGATTTGGGGTGAAAGGAATGCTAGAAGATACTCTAATGTCTCCTTTGATGAAAACTCTGTTGCTCTCTTGGTATACAGTACTATTAGGCTGAAGATCTACCTTTTCTAATTTTAGCAACTTTGTCTGATACCGGCCTTTCTCGAATGGGTGATTCTTTTATTTGGGGTTATGGTATCCTGTTTGGTTTCTTGCCTATGTTAGGCATTTGTTGGTTTTGGTTGGTTTCTTACTTTCCTTTTGGAGTTGGTTTGTTTCCTTTTGATTAGGATGCCCTTCTTATGGCTGTATCTCTTGATTTCTTTGAATAAAGTGATTAATTACCAAAAAATAATACCATTAGCCTCACGTTAGGACAACATAACAAGTGCAAAATATATTAAAATATTCTCCAAAAAAATTTAGATCCGCAAAGTTGAACTAAGGTGTACAATATTCAACAAACTTTACACTGCTCATCATAATCCACCTTAATCTTCTTAAGACATTCTAAAGATTCTTTTTTTTTTTTTTTTGGTTAAAAGGTAAGCTTTATAAAGAAAAAAAGAAGAGAATGTACAATACAGTGGCCCACAATAGGGCAGCAAACAATTACAAGGTCAGTGCCAAAATAGAAACAAACACAACAGGATCCTACCCAAAAGACATAGCAGCCACCTCATGGAGGTCATGAGAATGCAATTGCACACCATGTCTGATTCCCTGCAAAAGCACACCCTTGCAAGAATAATTATAGCAAGTCTTCCTGCTCAATCATAAGTCTCAGCTGAGCACCATTCTTTAACTTTAGTGATGGGAGCTTAACTCTGATACAACTCTTAATGAGACGAATGATGTGCTGTGGTGATGAAGCTCTATTCCTAAATGCTCTAGCATTTTTTTTAGACCAAATGAAGTAGATTGCAGCATTAAAGAGGAGCTTGTGGATGTCAAACCTTCCTGAAATCCATGTATTATAGCACCAAGTGACTAACTCCCTCCATGTCTTCGGCACAACATAAAAGCCTGCCACATGTTGGATGAACCTCCATATATGAGTGCTAAAACAACAATTGAAGAAAAGATGATCCAGTGTTTCTCCATCAGAGAGGCAAAGATAACATGCATTAGTGTATTGTTTCTTCCTCATAGGTTTAGAGTCCAATGTGTACAAACTTCCCCTACATGCAAGCCATGTAATACAACGATGCTTTGAAATCCTGGTTTTGAACCAAAGTAAATGAGACCAAGTGAATAAGATTGATGGAGGGGTTAATTATTTGGTTGTGTGGGAGAAAGAGAATTGGTTTGTAGGGCTTGGTATCCAAACAATACTATCATTTTCTACTGAGGGAGTGGCAATGTCAGGTAGTTGGCCTGTATACACAATGGATTGAAAGAATTGTAGATGCTGCAGCATAGGTGGTACCACCCACTGATTAGTGGAAATAAGGCTATCAATTCTAATCTTTGGATTGAGCTGAAGAATGTCCATATCAGTAAGGTGAAGCTGGTCACATAATGGGCCATTTGGAAACTGATAGTCAAGCCACAAACTGGCGTCAGAGCCATTCCCAACTCTGTGCTTGACGAGCCCCCTTGCCATCCCTCTTAGCTTAAGCAATCTTTTCCAAAACCTTGAACTTAGGGCAGAGGGCTTGACAGTCCATAGTGACTTAGCTTTAATAAGATACCTCTTGGTCCATGCAACCCAAAAACTGTCCTTCCCTGAGCACAACTTCCAGATATGCTTGAGATTAAAAATGAGAATGACCATACCAATGTCAGGAAAACCCAAACCTCCATAACATCTAGGTCTGCTGACAGAAACCCAAGCAACTTTTGCACCTCTTTTCTTTTCTAAAGATTCTTTTTCTTTTCAAATTATAGAGAAAAAGAAGCTTTATTTTTTTATTTTTTTATTTTTTTAGGAAGTCAAAATCCTACCTTCAAAGATCCAAACAACCTACAATTAAAAAAAAAAATTATCTCGAGGAAATGTTCTTAGTTAGTTATAAACAATTTGCATGCAAATCAAGGAAAGTGAATACATGAAAGAATATTTTAATGAAAATTTTGCCATGAAATCAATTCCAGCATTGAAATAAACATAGACAAAGTGTCAAATAAAGGGCTGTTTAGGTTTAAGAAGAATTTGAATACCATCTTCACCCCGACACTCTTTTCTTATGCCTAGAGAACCTACATTAGATAGATATAAAAAAAGTGCCTCCCTAGCTCCATCAACAGGAATCGATATCTTTTTATAGATGCATGAATTAAAATTAATTTTAATCTTCCTAAAAGTATCTTTAGTGTCGAGACAAAAACTTGGTAAACAAGGAACAAATGACAATCAATTATCAATCCTCATAAAAGGAAAAGCAAAAAAGATAAAAGTGACATCAGTCATTTTCTCACATGGACAATGTTAATTTTCAAGATAATTGTTGTGGTTAAGGTCAAAAGTTTTGTCCAAGAAGCTTCCTCTATCGTCATATCATAACTGATAAATTAAGTCTTGTCTACTGTATGTAATCTTTTCACGAGCTCAAAAGGAGAATTTGATTGATGATTTGATTTCTAGGAAAAAATAATATCCTTGGAATGAAATTAATTAAACAAAGCCAATATTGTATAGAATTACAAAGTTACCAACAGTACTGTATACATCTCCCATCTATATAATTATATGTAACAAATCTTATAAACATCAATAAAACATTGAATTATACCTAAAACCAAATACCCCAATTAACATATATAATCACAAATGAACAATAGACTATAGCTCCCTAACATTCAAACACAATTTATAGGAAAACTAAACCGTTATCATCATCAAATTTCATCACTCCATCTCCCATGCTGCTTTCTTCGAAACTCATATCGAATAAAAACCTGTACTGATCATCGTTGCATTTAGGGTTTAGTCCATCAACTGGAGCATTGTTCGTCAGCTCTGATGGATGCAGAAAGTTAGGGTTTAAGGAGACTAAATTTGGGAGAGTGCTAGGGTTGTGGTTTTGATAATGTGGACTGGGGGAGAATGGTGGGATTTGGTGATAACACCCATAATGTAAGGTTTGGTCAGTGGGAGGAGATGCAGCCAAATTTGGAGAAGTGACACCTGCTGTGGTTTCAGACATATTTTGTGGGCTAAGTATGTTGCTGTTCTCTCCTTTGCCTTTGTGAAATACTCTGCATAACACCCAGTCTTCCTGTAAATGAAATATGAATATATTAGAAGTTATATATAAACATGTTAATGTACGTACACTTGTATATATAAAAAGAGGATTGTTATCGACAGGGTGGACAAGTTTTCATAAAAATGCATATATAAAAGGGAAAACGATAAATTTGATGATCAATTTTTGTTATGATGTACGTAATAATCCACTACTGAAATAAATATCTAGAGAAAGATTCTATCTATTGGAGTTGCGTTTAAAAATAAATATTTTTTTGTAACATTACTCGTGACAGTTGGACATATATTCAAGACTGCAATTATTAATTAATTGAATTTTTCCTTTTTATATTTTTAATTCAAAATGAATTTATCATTCTATCATTGTGTTATAATAAAGAGGAGGATTCTCCTCTTCTTTTCATAAAAAGGACTGATGGGAATTTATGATAAAATATGAATTGTAATATCGGCACTCGTAGTACAGTCTCCATCATATTATTGAAACCAAAAACTCACGTGTAGGTGTTGTAGTTTTTAAAAAATTTTGAGCTCTCTCTCTCTCTCTCTCACACACACACACAAAGAGGTGGTACGAACAAACCTTAGGAGGCATATGGGGATTCTCAAGGCGAAACTCATGCATGATCCAGCCAGTTTTGATCCCATTTGGAGCTCTGTTCCTGTAGAAAACCAGTGTCTTCCTCATCCCCACAACGGCACGAGTCCTCGGATCATGCACCGTACGATCCTTTCCGGTGGCTTTCCAGTATCCGGTCGTCGTAGCACGATTTGTCCGGTAACCGGTCGCATACTTCCGGTCACGGAAACTGAAGAAGTACCACTCATTTGAATTGAGCTTCGCCATCTCTTCACAACATAAACATGTGATTAATTTGGTTAATTTAAGCAGATAAAATAAAAATAATAAATCAATTAGCAACATGTATATATATACGGAAACTAAATTAAAGTACAGGAACTTTATATAGTTATATGTGTACATAATACATGAATTAGTATGATTATGTTGAGTACATAAATATGAATAATACACGGATTTAGGTGATAAAGATAAAGTTGGGTACAGGTCACATTGATGGTGGCCATTACTTGATTATGCTCCACGCTAGGTTTTAGAGAGAGGACGGGCTCATGTGAAATGTCCCTAGTACGTTGAAATTGATTAAATGGTAGAAAGTCTATATCACCTTACACTTTATCTATACTACTAATTGAAAAAGATTCTCAATCTCTTCTTCAATAAAATCTTTTCTTATTATTTCATCTATTCCTTGTTTAAAAGAAAATTTTAAATTCTATTCCATGAAACATTTCACATTTTGCTTACAATTTGAAAAAAAAAAAAAAAAAAAAACTGCACATTTAAGAGTGGAAAAACATGGTTGATCAACTCTAATCCTTTAGTATTATATCTCTCTCACACACACACACTCTCTCTCTCTCTCGCTTAAGAATTGCAACTCACACACGCATTACACGTCAGCAAATGGTACCTAAGGAAGCAAAGTCTTTACCCACCAAAAAAGGGAGGAAGAAGAAAAATCTTTGAAATCTGCTGCATCCTGTTTTAGTTGTCAAATCTATCTATATTCTATACACACACACACACACACACACAAACTAATGGTGAAAATATTCGATATTATCCACTAAACGTACTGTTTTTTCGAACTAGTTCCATAAAAGCCACCAAGTCCGTTAGGATTTACTTAAACAATTAAAATTGCTTGAATTATTGTTTAGAAACATCATGTGCAAGAAAACAAAAAAAAAAAATGATGAATATGCTTATCATAAGAGTTAAATCAACAATAATATATCAAACCAAAAAGCGCTACAGTCATACTTCACTTACGCAAGCTAGCCTCTCTTGAAAAACATGCAACCTAGACTCTATCTAAGAGGTCACGGGAAGCGCGTTAAGAGTCCAAACAAGAATGAAAAAAAGGTTTACGCGTTTTGATATTATTTTATATAAAGTGATTAGTTTCAAACTCAAAACCTTCCAATGCTTCCTTTGAAGAGTACTTATAGTAGCAAGAAATTCAGTAATTATCAGCTCAAATAAATAAACAAACCCTCACACCATTAGATGTAAATCATTCTTTTTTTGAAGTTGCGACCAAAATCCTAAATAAAGTATTCTTTGTTGGGTTAAATGTAAATTCATCAATATATATATATATATGAAAAAGTGATTTTGAAAAAGGTTTCAAGGAAAGAAAAAAAAAGGTTCTATCTTTTGGTTGAATCATAGCTCATCATCATGAACCGATTATAGTTAAGTTTAATGAACCGAATACACACCACTCCTGAAAGAACAAGAGATATTTTCTGAGTCCTTTAATTTCGGCTTTAAGGTAAATATGGAAAGGCAGACTATTAAAGATAGAAGGATAACACAATTGCACTTTAATTGTATAACTTTTGAAACATCAAAAGTTTTCTTTAACATCCCTAGCTTTATACTAGTGTTAATGTTTTGATAATAAAAAATAAAAAAAAAAGTCACTGCTCAAAATAAATTAATTAAAAATTAGTTCAGGAAATTTTTGCCCAACATGTGCCTCTCCTACACATCCCTTACAGTCCTTGGAAGCATTTGTTGCTCCATGTTTGATTGCAAATTATAGCAGTCAAGAACATGCCCTAACATGTTATGTCTGCTCATAAGAATCCAAGAGATTTTTTTATTGTCCTGTATATGTATACAAACCCTGCCAAAACACTAACAAAAAAACAAGTAGAGACTACCATAGTGTCTTCAATTCATTCATGGTGAAAAAATAAGAATATATCAATCAATTATATATGGTGAAATTTCTCAGAAAAACTACGCAAAAAACACCTCGAAACTGTCACAAAAGGACAATATATAGTGAGAATATAAGTATTCCCACATAGAAAAAAGAGAAGATGCCATGGAAAGTAAAAGATGCTTACCAGGAAGCTGCCATGGCTCACATGTATGCAAATCAATTTCCATCAGAGTACCCTTGAGAACTTCTTCGTTTGCGATCTTTTTGTGGAGATAATGGCAGACCAATTCCTCATCACTAGGGTAAAACCTAAACCCTGGAGGCAGTGTGGCTCCAATGTCTCTAAGACCCATTCTAGTTGGTTTTTTTGGGAAGGAATTAAATAAAATTAAGGGTTGGTGGCAAAGAAATAAACTATGAGTTTGAGATTCTAAAGGCAAAATCCGGTTAGCTAGGCATACTGATATATAGGAGATGAAATATTAATATGGGTGGTCTAAAAGAAGCTTTAAACCCTATGTTTGAGAGCTGAAATAATATATATATAGAGAAGAAAGGTATGTATATGTGTATATATATATATATAGAGAGAGAGAGAGAGGTTGATAGGTACCTTTGCCTGCTACAATTTCTTACAATATTCTAACTGTTTATATATAAATGCTTGTATGGTTTTTTATGGTCATAGAAGGAACTTTCAAGAAAAACCCCAAGTCACAAGAAATCTTCTTAGGGGGCCATAATGGGAGAAAACTTAACGCATTGAATGAGTAAAATCCAAATCATATACTTACAGAAAACCTCCAAATTGCCCCTTTTTAAAAAAAATTGTATTGCAAATATAATGCAATTGTCTGTATACTTTATAACCTTTTTTAGGGGTTAAACATAAACAAACATATATAAGAAGACAAATTGAAATAATTTATATCACAATCCAGTATAAACATTCATCCAATGTATTTAGTCTTTTACCAACCATTCCTCTCACTTTTTAAAGTGTGTAAAAGATTCCTTGTCATGATCCAACGGTTAGGGTTAACTGATCAATGAGGCTATATATTAGATTGTGACCCTTCAATGGAGAAGAAAGGAAAAAAAATAGCCTAATATTTTATTACCATAGCTAGAATCTAGATCATTAGTGACTATGATTAATTTATTACAAAAAAAATGAAAATTGTGATTAAGAAAAGTTAACTTGTTTTATATATACGTATATATTAAACATAAAAATTACGTGAGACACAAGCCAATTAACCACATGCATGGTAATATAAATTATCTTCCTATATCTAATGTCATCATCCATGAGTAAAACTATGTTAATTTGTAAGGTAAAAAAACTTTGATCTGTGACATTGGAGCAAAAGGGTAATTAATCATATTGATAATAATTAGCTAATTAATAGATCAGATGTCTACCATGGATTTATAATTAAACCTATAAGCTAGGGTTCTCTATATATGCTATTAAATTATTGGGGTAGGGTCAGTGTTGCAGTGGGACATTTGTTCACATCTTCAAAAACTTGGACAAGTTAAAGAAATCAAATGAAACAGCTTGATTTAGAATGCTAATCATTCAGTCAGGGATAGAGAATTATATCTGTTCCAACCCTAAATCTGAGAAGAATAATTTGGATGGATTGAGGCAGATTGTCTTTCATATGGGGTCTACTAATGATGGAAGACACATGGTCCATCATAAATTGAAAAAAATGTCCACATGAATTTTGTGAACTTTTGTTAAGTGTTGTTGACAATGCAATAATAATGAAAATGAAGACAAAAATATATTTGTCACAACATGTATCATTTAATGATAATAATTGGAATTGTATATCTTAGATCATGAAATGAATGGGTCCATTAATGAAGTTTATATAGCTAGCACCCAAAGATGGAAATAATATTGCTCAATTTTTTTACCTGTTTAATTGAGTGTGACAGAAGAACAATAAGATTTCATATATCTTATAAAAATCCAAGATTAACCATTCAATTTCCGACATTTTTTGCCATTGTCTCAGACATTGTCTGCCTTAATTAGCTGGAATTGGAGCACATTAATCATGGAAATATATGGTTAATTATAATTCAATTAATTCTATGAATAGAAAAACTAGGACAAGCAAAACTAAATAGTGTTGTGGAAGCATATTTTTATGAAGCAAAATGGGATTGATACATTTTACAGTCCTCAATTACTTGATTCAACTGCTAATATATCTTGACCTAACATAAATTGTCTTTAAATTTTTGTTTCACACACGCACATAATGCATGAATATACATGAGTTAAACGAATGATTAAGATTTCTTGATCAATTGATTCTGGTATGGCTAGCTTTATAACTAATAATGCATAAAAAAATAAAAAAATAAAAAATAAAAAATAAAAAATAAAAAAAGGAGGAGGAAATAATGCATCAAGTTCTGAAATAGTTTCAGACAAGCCAAGTCATGACCTAATTGGTTCCTGGTTCTATAGGATTTTGATAATATATTTATTCATGCAGTACCAATCACATATCTCTTTCCAAAAAGAATCACATATATTGTACTATAATTTATCCAACCCTAAATCTAAAGATCTATTATAAATCATTATACATTATTTTCAAGCTTAACTAAATCACATAGAATAATACTAAAATCTACATCAAGGTTACTATGAGAATGTATTTGATGCGATGCCTCAATTAGAACATCAATGGCACAAGTCATTACCGTGTGACGTGTCGATTATCGGGCCCGACATAGTATAATTTATGACTATTTTACCCATGGCAATGAATGTGCAATCTAGAGTTAGAATCTATTTTTGTTAGGTGGTTATTTTTGTTAGGTGGTGTATGATGTTGAAGAAAGAGTGACGGCTTGATATACCCATTTCTAGAGCCAATAATTTATCCCCTTTCCAAGTGTCCATTTACTTAATTCACTTCCATAAGTTATGGGCTCTTTATGGGGACATTGGGGCCCTAACTTCATATATCAATCTCACCATTCACTTTCTATGTGATATAGAATATATGTTTATATAGCAATCAATATTTTTTTATACATTTATATTATATATACTCCTCTTAGGATTGGAGTTTGATGTAATTATAAGGTCATTTTATTGTGAGGTCACAGTTTAAATTGGGAAATAGCCTTTCCATAATAGACGTCACTTGTTTAAAATAAGAGAGCCAACTTCATATGCTAATTAATTAAAACTGCGTTCATATAATTTTCTCCACACTCTAAAGGTTGGGAGTTTCGTGGACTGGTTAAACACTTATATTACCTTGGTTCTGCAAGTACCTAGGAAGTTAACTACAGTATTGTTTCACATCCACTTAGTTGTTACCAAGTCAGCAGTATTAGCTGATTGGGACCCACGTGGCATTCTATGATGTTTCTTGTTATTTCTTTTGAAATGGGTGTCACAAAAATCAACTCATGATATACTTTAGTGTTTTATTCTTTATCATATGATTTGCTGGGGAGTTGACAGGCACGTTCCTTCAGCAACACTTGTTATTGTTTTTAATTTTTTCTAATCCCTCGTTAACGGCAGAATTCTCTCTCTCTCTCTCACTCTCTCTCTTTCTCTCTCCATATATCTCCACACAGAAATATATACTAAAAAATCATCTTTATTAGAAGCTTATTGCACAAGATGTGGACTCTTTCTTTCTTTACATCCAGGAACTTTTCTTCACATCTTCAATGAATATACTGTTGAATGACATTACATTCCTGTCTTTTACATAATGTCTAAAATACCCCTTTATCAGTCGACCAAACTAACCTTCTAAGTTCTAATAGTATTCACATTAAAATTTCTTCGTTTAATTAATATCATTTTTACCAGCGTGGGAGCACTATTTTGTTTTGAAAAAGTTTGGGTTTTCAACGAAAAATGCATGCTAGACTAGGACAACTCTTGCACTAGGCAATTAAGGGAAATGCTTAAAACCCATGTGACAAAAAGGCTCATAATGGTTCTTTTATTTTTATTGTAGGTCCTTAAAATGGGTTAAGGTGAATTACGCGCACTAGACTTTTGTTACTGTGGTATATTGAGTATGAGAAAATGAGAAAATTTTGATGTACCTAATCCTACATTCATATGAAGAGAAATTGTTTCTTATTTAAAACCTATCACCTCCAGACCATAATGAAATAATCTTTTAACCTGTCACCTCCAGATAATAATAAAAGAACTTTGTTGTAGAGTTGTCCACTAACACAAGTTTTAGTGCAATTTTGACTTGTCTGTTTTGACTCGTTTGCGGAGATCCATTTCCGATCAGGAATGGTCCAACGATCGGTTCTACCAATTATGTTAGCTTTTGGGCCTTATTCCATCACTTAGGGCACTGTTTTTTACTTTTTCATTTTTCATTTTTTTTGTTTGGTAAATTGTTTTATTGAGCCTGATGCAAAGTTAGCCAACTGATGGTCCAGGGTTCTGGTACAAGATGTCCAACCCAATGTGATAGTTATAGAATTTTTTTGAGATTTTGTTGTAGTTCAGAACGAACTCCGATTGTTATAGATTTTGATAGCTATCATAATTCAGTCATTAAAATTTTATCCCTATGTTTTTTTTTTTTTAACAATTCTTAGAAATAGTGCCAAATTGATTTGTTTTAAGGATTTCTGTGTACATAAATAGTAATTGTAGCATGGCTCGCATTATCGGTCATGGTCGTAGTGGTAGTGTAACGAATTCAAAAAAGTCAATATAAATTAACAAATACAAGTACGTATCTGACTTAAAAAATCGACCGATACGTCACGTTTCAGATAATACGACAAACCATGAGTTGTAGTATTCAACATATTATTGTTACTAATCAATAACAGATCAATTAATAGTGTCAGGTGAACTTCAACCTTATACTTAAACCTTATGTTCCTGATGGTCAGCCCGCATTAGGAGGAGTGGTAACACTCACTACTACAGTACTACTAGCCGAACTAGGTATTACATTATATATAGCAAATATATATATATATATGATTTCCATATAAAGAGTACTAGTACTAATTTTTAATCTGTACTCGAATTTTTGCCAGGCTTACACATATCATGAATTGCATAGATATCTATGTAACCCTCTTCACTGTTGACACTTTCAAAATAAGCTTGCACGGTATGGAAATATTACCAACTTGTACCATTTCATTTTTACGTACGAAATTAATTCTTGTTTTTTTTTTTTTTTTTTTAAAAAAAAAAAAAAAAAAAAAAAAAAACTATTTTACTTATTTTGCAATTTGTTCCACCACACGTTACTGCGTGCGTGTTGTTGTTACAGTTTCATCTTATATATACAGAAAAGAGGTAATATATATAACTTCAAACAATCAACTATCTAATTCCAATGGATATAAGCATTTACCATATCTGTTGAAATATTGATAACAAAAGAAAAACGAGGAATAGATCAAATTAGGTAAGGAACGCAAATAATCTATGCTAATTGATGTACATAAGAACAAAAAGTGAGATATTTGAAAGCAATTCGAGCCGGCTCATAACTTCTATCTCTATCAGAAAAGCAGGATATGCATCAACATCACATGCCCGAGAGACTGTATTTGCCAAGTAGGTGAATTAGAGAGAACAACTTTAGCA